TTTTACTTTTGGGGAGTTATGGTAAATGTATCTTTAATTTTTCCTGTTGTTAAAGGGTTTCTCAATACCTACTTGTGTTAAGTGCCTGGAATATATCTCAGAATATTCTGTCTTTAGTGATGAACACAGTGATCTTTATAAAAATGTCGTTACGGGACGAACTCATCGATCAAACCAGTTACTGCTCCTGAGTATGTCTTTCTGATATCTGAATTGGCAGGAGAGCAAAGATTTGCGTCTATTGTTGCTAAAAGACTTGAGAGTTTGGTCAAGTTTTTGAGTTGTGTGAATGTATGTAAAAGTATCTGTGTTATTGTGTTTTCTGGACAAGTTTAGCTGTGTCTTGATTAATTTGTTGTTTGATAGGGGCACTTACACATGGTGATGAAGAGCAACAGATCTAGAGATCTGAGCAGATTCAACTTTGACAATAAGGTATCTCTGAAAACTTGTAGTGTATGGTGTATGTAGCAAGCAGGACAGGAAAGTGGTTACTGCTTAAATTGAAATTTCTTATTGAGTGGGTTGGGGGGGAGGGAAAAAAAAAAATTGTTGTGTCTTCACGTAGGTAAAAAAAAAATAAATCGAAAACTTCCTCTCCTTTAGTTTTACTTTAAATTCATGCTTCCTAAAGACAGTAGGATTTACACATGTAATTAGGATCTTGGTGTTAACTCTGCAATATAGTCATGCAATATAAGTCAATTCCCAGTAGGTAATTAGTAAAACTTTGGGAATGAGTTCTGAGTTCCCAGAAATAAAGGAATGTAATTATCAAATTGTCTGCCATGTGCGATGGCAGGAACTAGGCAGTATAAATATATAAAAGATACACTTTTGTTTGAATGATGGTCTTTTGATTTATTTCTTTAAAGGGTCAGAGTCTGCCTCTAATCACTCAGGCTGGATAATCAGTAGTCTGATCATAATTCCACTGCATCCTTGAACTTTGATGTCAAGGCAATCATCCTGCTTCAGCCTCTGTAGCTGGGACTATATGCCACCATTACCCAAGCAGGCTAGGTCTCAACTCGTGGATCAACTAATCCTCCCACTCAGCCTGTCAATTTGTTGATCAGGATTGATGCTTTTAATCTTTGGATCTCAAAAAAAAAAAAAATCTTGATTCTGGGCAGCCATGTACTTAGCTAAATTTGGAGGTCAGAGGAAGAAGGCGAGAATAGTTATTAGTGGACCACCAGAAGTTCACTGAAGGACTTTAATAAGTCACTACCCTGCTTATTCCTGTGCAGAGGTAATTTTTTCCCTCTTACATTTGATGCAGAATATTGCTATCATCTCAGAAGCTGCCAGCTCTGGTATTTCATTACAAGCAGATCGGAGAGCTAAAAATCAAAGGCGAAGAGTTCATATGACTTTGGAATTACCCTGGAGTGCTGATAGAGCAATTCAGCAGTTTGGTAAGTTCCTACACTGCGTTTCACTTAATGGATAGCTGGGAATCATTGGGGAAATGTGTGCTTATAACCTGTTTTAATGTTAGCTTGTAACTCTAAAGCTTAGATTTTGCATTTAAGGAGTGTTTACATATACCTTATGTAGTGCATTATGAATTCATTTTTTACCTATTTTAAGTCTGGTTGGCTCAAGCTGGTTTCTAACCTGCTGGGCTCAAGCAACCTTCCACCTCATGCTCCTACTTTTTTTCTTCTAGTATAAATCATGTCTGTTGAATGTTACTGTTCTATTAAGTTTTCTTTTTTTTGACAATAGACCACTAATACTGCAATGATAATTGCACATAGGATAATTTTACATGTTTTCATTGTTTTACCATAAGTTGAATGTTATGAGTGTTCTGAGTGTTATGAGTGTTCTACACATTGAAGTAGACATGGCTCTTGATAGCTTCGGAGCTTTCAAAATCTTTAATCAGGCTGGGCGTGGGTGCTCATGCCTGTAATCCTAGCACTCTGGGAGGCCGCGGCGGGCGGATTGCTGAGGTCAGTAGTTCAAAACCGGCCTGAGCGAACCCGTCTCTACTAAAAATAGAAAGAAAATTAATTGACCAACTAAAAAAATAATATACAAAAATTAGCAGGCGTGGTGGTGCATGCCTGTGGTCCAGCTACTTGGGAGGCTGAGGCAGGAGATTCTTGAGCCAGGAGTTGAGGTTGCTTGAGCTAGGCTGAGCCACGGCACTCACTCTAGCCAGGCAACAAAGTGAGACTCTGTCTCAAAAACAACAAACAAAAAAACTTTAATCAGAATATAAAAGTACTCAGGGGGAGGAGGAAAGGGCATTTATTGAAACCTAAAATCTGTACCCCCATAATATGCGAAATAAAAAAAAAAAAGAATATAAAAGTACTTACACTGTGTGTTCATCTTCGACATCGAATGTCACACTAGTGTCTTTTTAGTTTTGAGACTAGAATGATACTTAAGCATGTCCAGATTATTGATATCCTCTGGGTTTACTGTTTCTTTTATTGCTGTACCATGTTGGGTGATTTACTGTGAATGGCTTGGAGGTTGAACTTCTGTTGTGACCACTGTGGAGATTTTGGTTGCCTCCAGAGGCTCTTTCTATAGACTCTTAACCTGTTAAATGGACGTCATCAAATCTAAGTTTCTCAGATCCATTTTTTTCCATCTAGTTGGAATAGCTATGAGATTTGCTGATGAGATTGCTAAAAATAGATATCACCTCTGAAGCCCTTCCTTAATCTAAAAGAAGGAAAAGAAAATCTTACCTTTTTGCCATATTTTGAGTAGAAAAATGAATTTTTCTACTTCTATAACTGGGAAAAAGATGATTGTTACTGTTTATCAAAGTTGTCTTAAAATATATAAAGAGCTGCTCTCTGCAGTGGTACATGCCTGTAAGTCCCAACTACTTAGGAGCCTGAGGTGGGAAGATCACTTGAGCCCAGGAGTTGAAGGTACCAGCCTGGGCAACATAAAGGCCTCTGGAGGCAACCAGAATTTCTACAGTGGTCAGATATGTTCACATATTTTAAAGATTGTAGATTAGAGGTATTAGTTATTTTAATTGTTTCCTCAGTCTAAGTCCAGGCACTATACAAATTATATTGGTTAGAATTCTGGCTTTTTTTTTTTTTTGAGACAGAGTCTCACTTTGTTGCCCAGGCTAGAATGAGTGCCGTGGCGTCAGCCTAGCTCACAGCAACCTCAAACTCCTGGACTTAAGCAATCCTCCTGCCTCAGCCTCCCAAGTAGCTGGGACCACAGGCATGCACCACCATGCCCAGATAATTTTTTCTGTATATATTAGTTGGCAAATTAATTTCTATTTATAGTAGAGAGGGCGTCTTGTTTTTGCTCAGGCTGGTTTTGAACTCCTGACCTCGAGCAATCCGCCTGCCTGGGCCTCCCAGAGTGCTAGAATTACAGGAGTGAGCCACCATGCCCGGCCAGAATTCTGGCTTTTAAATGATAGAAAATCCAAAATCGTATCAGCTTAATTAAAGCATGATGTTTATTTTTCTCATGCACATACTTGGGTAGGTAGAGCCAGCGCTGTTTCGGCCTCTTGAAGATCAGTCCTTTTCTGTGTTGTACATCTAATTATCTGTGCCTCCATTTCCTAGTTATCTGTGTGTTCCAAGATAGCTGTTTCAGATCCAGTTACTACCTCTACATTTCAGCTAGCAGAGAGGAGTAAAGGGGAGGAGAGGGCATGTCTCCTGCTTTTAAGGACATTTCCCAGACATTATAAATAACAGCCACCCTACTGGCTGGAGCATGCCTACATGCTCACATTTAGCTGTAAGGGAGACTGGGACATAAAATCTTGATTCTGGGCTGGGAGTGGTGGCTCACACCTGTAATCCTAGCACTCTGGAGGCCCAGGCGCGGCGGATCGCTCAAAGGTCAGGAGTTTGAACCAGCCTGAGCAGAAGGTGAGACCCTGTCTCTTCTACTATAAATAGAAAGAAATTAATTGCCAACTAACATATATAGAAAAAATTAGTTGGGCATGGTGGCACATGCCTATAGTCCCAGCTACTTGGGAGTCTGAGGCAATAGGATCGCTTGAGCCCAGGAGATTGAGGTTGCTGTGAGCTAGGCTGACGCCACAGCACTCACTCTAGCCTGGGCAAACAAAGTGAGACTCTGTCTCTTTTAACACTTCTGTCCTGAATTTGCTTTGACACTTGTTCACATTAAGGCAACCTTGAGTTAGTACTTATGTGTCTAATTTCTTCTTGAGAATAATTGAACATAATCACATTCATTATTGTGATGAGTCCAAAACATTAGCACTTATTTGTGAATTTTGTTTTTGTATTCTTATATAAATGCTTTTTTTCTGTACTTTTCATTTGTATTAACTTATGAACTAAATGTATTATCTCGAATCTTTAGAAACATGTTTGGGCTGACTCTTTTTTGGGGTTTCGGAGTAGGTGAAGAAATAACTCGAGAAGCCAAAAAATCACGGAAAGTAAGTGGCCTTACTGGTAGCAGTTCTGATGACAGTGGAAGTGAATCTGATGCCTCTGATAATGAAGAAAGTGACTACGAGAGCTCTAAAAACATGAGTTCTGGAGATGATGATGATTTCAACCCATTTAGAGACGAATCTAGTGAGGATGATGAAGACGGTAAGTTCATCAGTATATTTAATGTAAACTGAAAGATAGTTCATGCTCCAGTGTATTTAAAAGTGAAGTGTTACAACCTTTTTTTCTGTGCAGCACAAATGATCACACAGATTCTAATCTTTGCTTTGGTGAGGAGCTCCAGATTGTCATCTGGAGGTTTGAGCCTCATCTTTGTGAGAGTATGACCTCAATTTTGTGGAGTTATTTTTAACCTTACAATGTAGATTTGTATGCCATGGTGTATGGATGGGACGTACTAGCCTACTGTAGTTGATGTGATCATTTATAAGCTAATGGTTTAATAATACAAAACATTTCAAGGGTTTTTTTCCTTAAAGATTCTATACGTTTTAAATACTCTATATATTTTAACAAATCATTTGATGTACTTCTTTCCTTAACACCCAGATCCCTGGTTAATCAGAAAAGACCACAAGAAAAACAAAGATAAAAAAAAGAAGAAAAGTATAGATCCAGATTCTATTCAAAGTGCCTTATTAGCATCAGGTCTTGGATCAAAACGACCTAGTTTTTCGTCTACACCAGTTATCTCACCTGCTCCTAACAATGCACCAGGTAATCAGTGTAGAAACTCGCATTGTCTGTGAAATATACTTTAAACAAAACACATATTTAAACTTTGTACTGACTTTTAATTAATGTTCTTTGTTTAGCTAACAGTAACACCAATAGTAACAGTAGCCTTATAACAAGTCAGGATGCTGTGGAAAGGGCCCAGCAGATGAAGAAAGACCTACTTGATAAGCTAGAAAAATTAGCTGAAGACCTTCCTCCTAATACCTTGGATGAACTTATTGATGAACTTGGTGGCCCTGAGAATGTTGCTGAGGTAAATATGACTTGATCAGGGCCGTGTCTCTTCTTAGTAACATTTTGGCCTTTTTTTTACCCCTGTAAAATGAATGTGGTATCATGACATAATAACCTGTCTAAATTTTTCACGTGTATCTTAGAACCCTTGTTGTACTTCAGTTGTCCCCCTAGCACCAGTGAAGTTCTGCCCCAGGCATCTGAATGTCTAGAGCCACTGGTCTCATGTATTGTATTTGTCCTGCAGCTTTTGTGGTCAAGGTTGCTTTTCCCAGGGACTGTGTGCCAGTGTTCAGTATCCCCCAGTGCCTGGTGCAGCACAACCTGTGTTTCTCTATCCAAAGTTTAGTGAAGGAGGCACTGAGCTCTAAGCACCATAGTCGTATGGCTTATGACGCTGTTTTTTTCTCAGATGACTGGCCGCAAGGGACGTGTTGTCAGTAATGATGATGGAAGCATATCTTATGAGTCAAGATCTGAACTCGATGTGCCTGTGGAAATCCTAAACATCACAGAAAAACAAAGATTTATGGATGGAGATAAGGTATGTTTTTATATGATGCTTTTTGGTAAGAAAAACAATGCTCAGGCAGGGCATGGTGGCTTATGATTATAATCCTAGGACTCTGGGAGGCTGAGGTGGGTGAATTGTTTTGAGCTCAGGAGTTCCAGCCCAGCCTGAGCAAGAGTGAGACCCCGTCTCTACTAAAAATAGAAAAAATTAGCTGGACAACTAAAAATACATGGAAAAATTAGTTGGGCATCGTGGCATGTGCCTATAGTCCCAGCTACTGGGAAGGCTGAAACAGGAAGATTGCATGAGCCTAGGAATTTGAGGTTGCTGTGAGCTAGGCTGACTCCATGGCATTCTAGCCCAGGCAAGAGAGTGAGACTCTGTCTCAAAAAAATAAAAAGAAAAAAAGAAAAGAAAAATGCTCATGCATTTAGTAGGGTTTCTTTTGTTTGTTTTTTTTTTAGAGACAGGGCCTTGTTCTGTTATCCATGTTGTATGGAATACAGCATTGTGATTGATCATAGCTCACTATAACCATGAACTCTTGGCTCAAGTGATCCTCCTGCCTCAGCCTCCCAAGTAGCTGGGACTACAGGCATGTATCACCATACCCGGCTGCTTTTTAAAAAATTTTTTTTGTAGAGACAGGCTCTGTCTGTGTTGCTCAAGCTGGTTTCTAACCTGCTGGGCTCAAGCAACCTTCCACCTCATGCTCCTACTTTTTTTCTTCTAGTATAAATCATGTCTGTTGAATGTTACTGTTCTATTTAAGTTTTCTTTTTTTTGACAATAGACACTAATACTGCAATGATAATTGCACATAGGAATATTTTACATGTTTTCATTGTTTTACCATAAGTTGAATGTTATGAGTGTTCTGAGTGTTATGAGTGTTCTACACATTGAAGTAGACATGGCTCTTGATAGCTTCGGAGGCTTTTAAAATCTTTAATCAGGCTGGGCGTGGTGGCTCATGCCTGTAATCCTAGCACTCTGGGAGGCCGCGGCGGGCGGATTGCTGAGGTCAGTAGTTCAAAACCGGCCTGAGCGAGACCCCGTCTCTACTAAAAATAGAAAGAAATTAATTGACCAACTAAAAATATATATACAAAAAATTAGCCAGCGGGTCGGTGATGCCTGTGGTCCAGCTACTTGGGAGGCTGAGGCAGGAGGATTGCTTGAGCCAGGATTTGAGGTGCTGTGAGCTAGGCTGACGCCACGGCACTCACTCTAGCCAGGGCAACAAAGTGAGACTCTGTCTCAAAAAACAAACAACAAAAAAAAAACTTTAATCAGAATATAAAAGTACTCAGGGGGAGGAAGGAAAGGGCATTTATTGAAACCTTAAAATCTGTACCCCCATAATATGCCGAAATAAAAAAAAAAAAAAGAATATAAAAGTACTTACACTGTGTGTTCTCTCTTCGACATCGAATGTCACACTAGTGTCTTTTTAGTTTTGAGACTAGAATGATACTTAAGCATGTCCAGATTATTGATATCCTCTGGGTTTACTGTTTCTTTTATTGCTGTACCATGTTAGGGTGATTTACTGTGAATGGCTTGGAGGTTGAACTTCTGTGTGACCACTGTGGAGATTTTGGTTGCCTCCAGAGGCTCTTTCTATAGACTCTTAACCTGTTAAATGGACGTCATCAAATCTAAGTTTCTCAGATCCATTTTTTTCCATCTAGTTGAATAGCTATGAGATTTGCTGATGAGATTGCTTAAAATAGATATCACCTCTTGAAGCCCTTCCTTAATCTAAAAGAGGAAGAAGAATCTTACCTTTTTGCCCATATTTTGAGTAGAAAATGAATTTTCACTTCTATAACTGGGAAAAAGATGATTGTTACTTTATCAAAGTTGTCTTAAAAATATATTAAAGAGCTGCTCTCTGCAGTGGTACATGCCTGTAGTCCAACTACTTAGGAGCCTGAGGTGGAAGATCACTTGAGCCCGGAGTTGAAGGTACCAGCCTGGGCAAAATAAAGAGCCTCTGGAGGCAACCAGAATTTCTACATGCAGTGTTCAGATATGTTCACATTATTTTAAAGATTGTAGATAGAGGTATTAGTATTTTAATTGTTTCTCAGTCTAATCCAGGCACTATCAAATTATATTGGTTGAATTCTGGCTTTTTTTTTTTTGAGACAGAGTCTCACTTTGTTGCCCAGGCTAGAATGAGTGCCGTGGCGTCAGCCAGCTCACAGCAACCTCAAACTCCTGGACTTAAGCAATCCTCCTGCCTCAGCCTCCCAAGTAGCTGGGACCACAGGCATGCACCACCATGCCCAGATAATTTTTTCGTATTATTAGTTGGACAATTAATTTCTATTTATAGTAGAGAGGGCTCTTTTTGCTCAGGCTGGTTTGTGAACCCTGACTCGAGCAATCCGGCCTGCCTGGGCTCTCCAGAGGCTAGAATTACAGGAGTGAGCCACCATGCCCGGCCAGAATTCTGGCTTTTAAATGATAGAAAATCCAAAATCGTATCAGCTTAATTAAAGCATGATGTTTATTTTTCTCATGCACATACTTGGGTAGGTAGAGCCAGCGCTGTTTCGGCCTCTTGAAGATCAGTCCTTTTCTGTGTTGTACATCTAATTATCTGTGCCTCCATTTCCTAGTTATCTGTGTGTTCCAAGATAGCTGTTTCAGATCCAGTTACTACCTCTACATTTCAGCTAGCAGAGAGGAGAAAAGGGGAGGAGAGGGCATGTCTCCTGCTTTTAAGGACATTTCCCAGACATTATAAATAACAGCCAACCTACTGGCTGGAGCATGCCTACATGCTCACATTTAGCTGTAAGGGAGACTGGGACATAAAATCTTGATTCTGGGCTGGGAGTGTGCTCACACCTTAATCTAGCATCTGGGAGGCCCAGCGGCGGATCGCTCAAGCATGAGTTTGAAACAGCCTGAGCAGAGTGAGACCCTGTCTTTCTACTATAAATAGAAAGAAATTAATTGGCCAACTAACATATATAGAAAAAATTATTGGGCATGGGTGGCACATGCCTATAGTCCCAGCTACTTGAGTCTGAGGCATAGGATCGCTTGAGCCCAGGAGTTGATTGCTGTGAGCTAGGCTGACGCCACAGCACTCACTCTGCCTGGGCAACAAAGTGAGACTCTTCTCAAAAAGAAAAAAAAATCTTAGATTCTGGGCAGCCATGTACTTAGCTAAATTTGGAGGTCAGAGGAAGAAGGCGAGAATAGTTATTAGTGGACCACCAGATATTCACTGAAGGACTTTAATAAGTCACTACCCTGCTTATTCCGTGCAGAGTAGATTTCCCTTACATTTGATGCAGAAATTGCTATCATCTCATAAGTGCCGGCTCTGGTATTCATTACAAGCAGATCGGAGAGCTAAAAATCAAAGGCGAAGATTCATATGGACTTTGGAATTACCCTGGACTGATAGAGCAATTCAGCAGTTTGGTAAGTTCCTACACTGCGTTTCACTTAATGAGTGGTGTATTGGAAATGTGTGCTATAATTTTTTAATGTTAGCTTGTAACTCTAAAGCTTAGATTTTGCATTTAAGGATGTTTATATACCTTATGTAGTGCATTATGAATTCATTTTTTACCTTTTTTGTAAAAGTCTGCAGTGGGATTTTTGTGGGTTTCCTGTCATTATATCCAAGATAGGTTCTTCGGAGTGTTTTCTCATAGACTTTAGGATGTATAGATTCCATGTGAGGCAGCTGCTACTTCATGTCTTTTCAACTCATTGGCTTCACTAAAGTTGCATTGCTTTCCTTCTGTCTTCATTTCCTGTGCAGTGATTTGAAAAACAATTTTCTCGAGCATCCAAGTAGGCTTTTTCAGCAACACTGGGGTTACAAAATTGGTTAGCATATATCTATCTGTTTAACTAGTTTTAATCTGGAGTCTTTCTTAAGGAGTATGCTTTAACATGATGTATTCAAACTGTGTTACATTTATGTGTGTTTTTAGTTTTCTTTAGACAGGAGTCTCGCTTTGTTGTTTCCAGGCTAAGGTGAGTGCCCGTTGTGCGTCACCCACTTTTTTGCAACCTTCACACTCGCTGGTGCTTTCGAGTATCGTCCTCCTGCTCATGCCTCCCGATGTAGGCTGGCTTACAGGCATGTGCCACATGGCCCGGCGTAATTTTTTTTTTTATATATAGTCATATCAGTTGGCCAATTATTTCTTCTTTGTTTATAGTAGAGACGGGGTCTCGCTCTGTCTGTTTGTGTTTGAATCGCGACCGTTGAGCTTGTCCGCCCGCCTCGGCCTCCCAGAGAGCTAGGATTACAGGCGTGAGCCACCGCGCCCGGCCTGTACTTTTTTTTTTAAATATACACCATGGAATACTAGATTTTTTACTTTTGGGGAGTTATGGTAAATGTTATCTTTAATTTTTCCTGTTGTTAAAGGGTTTCTCAATACCTACTTAGTGTTAAGTGCCTGGAATATATCTCAGAATATTCTGTCTTTAGTGATGAACACAGTGATCTTTTATAAAAATGTCGTTACAGGACGAACTCATCGATCAAACCAAGTTACTGCTCCTGAGTATGTCTTTCTGATATCTGAATTGGCAGGAGAGCAAAGATTTGCGTCTATTGTTGCTAAAAGACTTGAGAGTTTGGTAAGTTTTTGAGTTGTGTGAATGTATGTAAAAGGTAATCTGTGTTATGTGTCTTCTGGGACAAGTTTAGCTGTGTCTTGATTAGAAATTTTTTGTTTTGATAGGGGGCACTTACACATGGTGATAGAAGAGCAACAGAATCTAGAGATCTGAGCAGATTCAACTTTGACAATAAGGTATCTCTGAAAACTTGTAGTGTATGGTGTATGTAGCAAGCAGACAGGGAAAGTGGTTACTGCTTAAAATTGAAAATTTCTTATTGAGTGGGTTGGGGGGGAGGGAAAAAAAAAGAAAACTTGTTGTGTCTTCACGAGGTAAAAAAAAATAAAATCGAAAACTTCCTCTCCTTATGTTTTTACTTTAAATTCATGGCTTCCTATAAGACATAGGATTTCACATGTAAGTTAGATCTTTGGTGATTAACTCTGCAATATAGTCATCAATATAGTCATTCCCAGTAGGAATATAGTAAACACTTGGGAATGAGTTCTGAGTTCCCAGAAATAAAGGAAGTTATTTATCAAATGTCTGCCATGTGCGATGGCAGGAACTAGGCAGTATAAAATATATAAAGAGATACACTTTTGTTTGAGATGTACTTTTATTTATTTCTTTAAAGGGGCAGAGTCTTGCTCTATCACTCAGGCTGGATAACAGTAGTCTAATCATAATTCACTGCATCCTTGAACTCTTATGCTCAAGCAATCATCCTGCTTCAGCCTCTGTAGCTGGGACTATATGCCACCATACCCAGCAGGCTAGTCTCAAACTCGTGGACTCAACTAATCCTCCCACCTCAGCCTGTCAATTTGTTGGGACTTCAGGCACTTGATGCTTTTTAATCTTTGGTACAATAATGGTGGTTATAGCATGTTAGGGGATCATGTGATTGAAGAATATCCAAATGTTCAAACTGGTGAAAAGTTTTTGGTTTTTATTGCAGTATGGAAGAAATGCTTTAGAAATCGTCATGAAATCTATTGTAAACTTGGATTCTCCTATGGTATCACCACCTCCAGACTATCCTGGAGAATTCTTTAAAGGTAACATTTAAAACATTATAGCATTTGATGTCTTAGTTTTAATTTTTCTTCAGACATGAATTGTATGAAATTTAGAAATTAGAGGTTATTTTACTTCTTACATTAAGCAGATTTATTAAAACCAATTTTATTCAAATAAAAGTGTTTTTGCTCTTTACATAGTAAAAGAGGATGTCACCACTAGGCTAATTTTTATTTTATAAAATTCTTTTTAGAGATAAGGTCTCACCCTGTCACCCAGTCTGAAGTGCAGTGGTACAGATATAGCTCGCTGCAGATTGGAACTCCTGGGCTCAAGTAATCCTCCTGCCTCAGCCTCCCTAGTAGCTAGGACCTCATAGGTGCATGCCACCGTGCCTAGCTAATTTTTTAACTTTTTTTAGAGATGGTGTCTCACTATGTTGTCCATGCTGCTCTCATGGTCTCAAGCGACCCTCCTGTCTTAGCCAATACTACTCTAATACTAATAGAGCAAATTGGTTTTAGTACATTAAGTAAAATCACTTCACTAAATAGCTTTTAAAATTTAATTTTTTTTTTTTTTTTTTGAGACAGTCTCACTTTCTTGCCTAGGCTAGAGTGAGTGCCGTGGCTTTAGCCTAGCTCACAGCAACCTCAATCTCCTGGGCTCAAGCAGTCCTATTGCCTCAGCCTCCCAAGTAGCTGGGACTATAGGCATGTGCCCGGCTAATTTTTTCTATATATATTAGTTTGCCGATTAATTTCTTTCTATTTATAGTAGAGGTGGGGTCTTGCTCTTGCTGAGGCTGGTTTCAAACTCCTGACCTCGAGGAATCCACCCGCCTCGGCCACCCAGAGTGCTAGGATTACAGGCGTGAGCCACTGCGCCTGGCCTAAAATTTAATTTTAAAGTTTAAAGAGTACCTTGGTTTATGGCAGGGGTGTAAACGAAGCAAATTTGGCCATGAGTTAACAGTTGTTAAAAGTGGGTGAGTACATATGGCTCACAGAATAATCTTTTGGATGCTTGGAAATTGCCATAATTAAAATCTTAAGTAGTACTGTAGAAATTCTTAAACCCATATTGCAAATCTGTAGAATAGATTTTGGCCTCCCTCACACATGTAGGTAGGAGAGATTATTTTAGTAGTTCAGGAAACTGAAAATAAGTTGGTGTAAGATATTTGAAAGATTATCATTGTGGAGTTAGCATGTTTTACTAGAAGGTCCTTTCCAACATACTAATACATTCCAATATGTGTGCATAGCAGTCTATGTTTACATACCTGTCAGAGGTGCTCATGATCACTGGCAGCTTTTACCAAAGAAAACAGTGAAGCCTTAACCTCACACCCTCTTCCTACCTTGGTCATTAGAGGGAATGTCAAAAATAACTTGCCAATTTATTTCTAATTTTTTAAAATTAACATTTACTTATTTATTATAAATAATGAAAAGAATCTGGAAGTATATAATGAAGAGAGTTAATACTATTCTTCTCAACACCCCTTCCATTCTCACCTTCTGAGGTCACAGATGTTGACAGTGTGGGCAGGGGCAGCCCTTCTATGTTTTTTCTCCATATTTATCTTAGTACCGAGGTTTTGTTTTAAATGGGATGATATTACTTGCAGTGTACTTTTCTCACTTAACAATATGTCACATACATCTCCTGCAAAGTCAGTAGCCATAGCACTAATTTATGCAGCTAACCAAGAGTTTCATAATACTCAACAGCATGGTTGTAGTGAATCATACTGTATTGATATTGAGATGGTTTCTAATTCTTTGCCACCACAAACAGTGCTGAACTTAACACGTAGGTGGTTTTTTTTCTACCAATAGGATGGATTCCCAAAAGATTTTCTGGGTCAGAATTGACCCTATCCTCTTATAGCCCAATATCTGCAAGTCTGGGTTGGAGCCTGCACACCATTATTTTTTTAAATCGCCTAGTATTCCGCTCCTTGTGTAAAATTGCTTAGATTCTGTGTCTGAGAACTTCATAGACAGAGATCTCCACTACACAGGATTGCTGTTGGAAAGAGAAACTATTTTAATAAAGTAATAGGATATGGTGTGAAATTTGGGTATTCAAGGATTTTCCCCTTTGGGGACTGTGGGTTCCATTTAATTCACCTAATTGGAACTGTAGAAGATATATAGGCTCTGTCTTATTACTAGAAATTGATCTAGTTTGATTAGTTAGGAAGCAGGTCCTTGAGTCATTTGGATTATAGTATTTTATATAAGTTTATTTTCTTACAGATGTTCGACAAGGACTGATTGGAGTTGGCCTGATAAATGTAGAAGATCGCTCAGGAATTCTTACTCTTGATAAAGGTAGTATTATTAAATTTGTGGGTATATATAACTGTTGCTATATTATTAAATCCCATTTTATTACATGTGCTTTTGTAGCTGAAGGGGAAGCTTCAAGTCAGTATTTCTTAGTCTCTTGTTACTGAGCACTCTGGGCTTTTTTGGCTATTGTGGGTACCCCTTAGAGATTAAACCTCTATTCTATCCATAGAGCAGCAACTTTCAATACTGGCTGCAAATATAATCAGCTGCCAAACATTTAAAAATTACTGAAGCTAGGGGTGGAGTGCAGACACTGGTAGTTTTTTTCCCAGAGCTCCCAGGTATTTTTGCTGTGCAGCCGCAGTTTGGATTTGATGGTTTAGAGAGTACTTGTTACTTCATGATTTAAGATTTAGTGTTGGAAAACCAACATTCTCAAGTGCTAAATTGTGTTCATACTTTGCATAAGTGAAGATGCAAAAATTCAATTCGACAGACATCTTTTGTGCATCCATCATAGTTGTGCTAATTGCTAGAGGTAGAAACGTGCAGATCATAGCTCTGTTGTAGGGACAGTGCGAGAGTTGTGAAGGAAGACTATAGAAGAGAAAGTGAGGTTTCAACTAGGCCTAGATGAATAAAAAATTAATTATCATTTGAATGCATGAAATTGTTCATATAATCTTGTCATTGCAGATTATAACAACATAGGCAAGTTCTTAAACAGAATTTTAGGCATGGAGGTACATCAGCAGAATGCATTATTTCAGTATTTTGCGGACACACTTACTGCAGTTGTTCAAAATGCAAAAAAGAATGGAAGATATGATATGGGAATCTTAGGTAAGTAGCGAAATATTTTAAAATGTCATATGTATTCCTGATAAAAATGTTCCTTCTACACTTACATGTTGGTTTTCTTATTCAAGATCTTGGTTCCGGAGATGAAAAGGTGAGGAAAAGTGATGTTAAGAAATTTCTGACTCCAGGATATTCAACCTCTGGCCATGTAGAATTATACACGGTAAGTGTGGAAAACGTGCACATGTTGACATGTAGTTCTCCTGTGAGAGGTATTTACAGGAGTGAGTTTAAGTTTTATTTTATTTTTTTACAGATTAGCGTAGAGAGGGGAATGTCATGGGAGGAAGCTACCAAGATTTGGGCTGAGCTGACAGGACCAGACGATGGCTTTTACTTGTCATTGCAAGTACGACTTTTGCTTTAAATGTTAACTATTCAGATACATAATACTTTCTCACTGACGACATTGTAACTGTCTCTTCACTTTGTGCCAGTTTTCCAATTGTGTTTATTAGGTTTCTCTGTTTTGGCAATTTATTGTAATTGTGATTTTTGTCCGTTTATATACTTTTTTACTTATATATTTTGAGGGATGTTACTAGATACAAATTTAGAAGTTATGTTTTCTTAGGTAATTGAATCTTTTCCCTATAATACCGTATTTTCTTTATTCCTGATAATGCTTTTTATGTCTTAAAAACTCATTTTTCAGATAGTAGCATAACTACATTCTTTGGGTTATGATTTGCCTGACAGAACTAAGGAGGGGAAGTGTGTGTGTGTACCTTTGTGCACATACATATGCATATATAAACTTTCATATATAGCACAATATCTTGAGTTCATATTGACTTATCCTGTTGAAATCCAAGACTACAGAATTTTTATATCCCCAATTTTCTGTAAAGTTTTTGTGTCTTCTTTCTTCTATACCAAGAGTCTTTATTCTCAAAGACACCCAGGATGATAAAATATTATTGATACAGAATTCCAGAAGATGGATTTTTTAATTAGGAAAAAACCTGTTTTTGCATGTTTATCTGATTTTACAAAATATTGTTTCTGCATTGTCAAAGTATATAGTAATTATACAGTATACTTTTCATTTTAATCTTTATTTAGTCTTAGTTCTGGGGTCATATTTAATGCTCACTGTTCACTTACTAGTCCATAGGTTAATCAATCTCTAGTCATTTTGTCTGTCTGATGCTTATTCTGTAGTAGATAAATTAAGAAGGGCTTATAGGATCATTACTGAGTTCTTGCATGATGATAAGTTTGTGCCCTTTGTACTTGAAAGATAGTTTTACTGTGTATGAAATCTTTGATTTATATTTTCTTTCCTTGAGTATCTTAAATATGCTAATATTTATTCTTCTAGGGTAAAGGGTTGCTGTCAAAGTTTGATGGTACTCTAATTTTCTTTCACTTTTAAGAAGTAGTTTGAAATTGTTTTATTTCAGAACATTTTCTGAATTATATATACATGTCTGTATGTATATATGTATTTAATTCCCATATGGTTTCAGATTCATAACATTTTTATTTGCAAACATTTTTAGTATTTTATTTCTTTGGGTTTCTCCCTTACCAGGATTCCTGTTATCCATATATTAGGTGTTCTTTGCATATCTTCGATATTTATTTTCTCTTGAATTCCTTTTTTTTTTCTTTTTTGAGACAGTCTCACTCTGTTGCCCTGGCTAGAGTGCAGTGGGTGTTATCATGGCTCACTGCATCACTGCAGCCTCAAACTCCTGGGGTCAAGCAATCCTCCTGCCTCAGCCTCTTAAGTGGCTGGGACTACAGGTGTGTAGTCCCACACACACCTAGCTAATTTTTCTATTTTTTTTGTAGAAATGAGGTCTCACTCTTGCTCAGCCTGGTCTGGAACTCCTGAGCTCAAGTGATCCTCCCACCTAAGCCTCCCAGAGTTCCTTCAATTCTTAGCTCTTTATTTTTTCTTGTTTTCCCAACAGATTTATTGAAATATTCATATATATTTTCTCCATTTACATATATACAATTAATTGGTTATTGTTGTATATTACATTCTTAGTTTTTAAAAATTGTGGTAGAATGCATATAACATGTAATTTGTTGTTTTACCTTTTTTTGAGACAGGGTCTTGCTCTGTCACCCAGATTGTAGTACAGTGGTGAGATCTTAGCTCACTGCAGCCTCAAATTCCTGGGCTCAAGTGATCCTTTCAACCTAGCCTCCCAAAGCTCTAGCATCACAGGTGTGAGCCACCACATGGACCCAGCCCATTTTAACCATTTTTTAAGTATACAGTTGAGTGGCATTAATTATATTCACAGTGTTGTGTATCCATCATCACTACCTGTTTTCAAAACATCTTCATCGTCCGTAACAGAAACTGCAAGCTTTATCCATAACTTCTCGGTATCCCTCTGCCCAGCCTCAGCTGACCTCTGGTCTACTTTCTGTTTCTATGAATTTGTCTATTTAGGTACCTCATGTAAGTGGAATCATATTTGTACTTTTTTATGTCAGGTTTATTTCGCTTAGCATAGTGTTCTCCAGGTTAATCCATGTTGTAGCATGTATGACGATATTGTTTCTTTTTTTAAAGCCTGAATGGTATTCTTTTGGTTGTATACGCCACAATTTGCTTTATGTTTGCCTTTATTTATGGTGTGACTGACTATAAATGAAGACCTGATTCTTGTTCATAAGACGTCACTGCATAAAGGAGACCATATACAATTAGCCACAGGCAGGGTGAAACCATAAATGAACTATCTGGAATAGGAGTCCCTAAACTTTTTCTGTAGAGAGCCAGATAGTAAATATTTTAGGTTTTGTAGGGTACATACGGTCTATATTCTGTGTCCTGCATGTGTTTGTTTTTCTCTTTTCCTTTCTCTTATTCTCCCTGTCTTCCTGTCCTCCCTCCTTAAATGTACTAAAGAGCCGAGCCTTAGGCTAGATTTGGTCCATAGCCCTAGCCTGCTGGTCCCTGATCTAGAGCAAAGCCCTTAAACAATCTATTTGGGTTGTGAGATGTTTTTGTTTTGGAAATATTTATTGAACCATAGATTCATTTGAATGTAGTTATAATAAACAGTACAGAGAAATTCTTTGTCTACTTTGCCCAATTCCCACATTGATAACATCTTGTAGACCTATAGTATGGTATCACAACCAGGATATTGACATTGGTACGATTCACCTATTTTATTCAGAGTTCCCCCATAGATGCAATTTTGGTTGGTTCATGTAGGATGTTTGTTACTGTTTTTAGTTTAAAATATTGCCAGAATTTCACCATTGGTAGATTGTGATGAAAATCCTGGTCCCAGTTTCCCTTGGAAGGCAGCTATGCTCACCACTATACCACCAACGCCCAGCTTCCCTTGCATGGAAGGGTATGGCGATACTAGTCCTTCATGTCCTGCATGGCAATGGGTGGCTAGATGTAAGGAGCAGTGGCCCTAGAGGTGTCATTCCAGGACTGTGTGGCTGTTTGCCTGTGAACCTTCATAGCATTCAGCAGACTTGACTTGTCTCTTCTCTTCCCTTCTCTTCCCCTCTCTCCCTCTTTTCCTCGTTCCTCAACAGCAAACATGCTTTTCTATGTGTGTAACAACATGTGTTACCATTAGGAAAACATTGTCAGAATCACTCTTATTTCTGCTGTATTATGATGATATTTTATAATTAACTTGATGCTATCAAGACAGATCACACTATTACATGCCTTAAAGGCTGTCCTCCAAGATTAAGTTTGGGAGTTTCCCTCCAATTGATAAAAAAAACTTTGTATACAATTTTGGCTCTAACTTTGTTTGGCTCTAGTTTTGTTTTATGCCTTTGCAGTAATTATAAATAAAGTTTCAAATCATTTGAACAAAAGACAAAGGATCTTTAATATCCTTAAAGAGGAAAGTGAAATACTATCTTTTTCTTTTATCATTATAAGAATTAATATAAAATGTTAATACCTCAGCAAACAATGATTTATTGTGTAGAGGAGCTGGGAAAATGTCTTTACTCTGAAACTTTTCTTTTTCCTTCAGTTTTGCTGCAGAGATTATTGCTTAGAAGCTTTTCATCCCTCATTAAAGAAGAAATATATTTTCTAATTTTGTTTTTTTCTTGAGTTAAATAGAGCTTTTTATAACTCTTTCCTTTAGAGTTTCTCTCATGAGTCCAACTTTAAAAAGTTAAAAATACATACCTGGGTTCCAGCATTTCTCTAATGCTTGCTTTTCTTTGATTTTTTTCCATACATTTTTATGTATAATTAGTTCAACATTTTGGCTTTCTGCTCTGGTGGCTTTGTGTTCACAGAATCTGATATGTGATCTCCCACCTTTACAAAACCCTGTGATGGAGGGGAGGCAGCTCTGGTGGCACATGTGTGCGCAGAGGTCGGGGACATCCAAGGCATCTTGGTAGTGCTTGAAGGAGAGCAACATGTTTTGCAGCATTTTATTATGAAGAGTTTACAACATGCAGTGGAGATGAAAGAATTTTCCTGTGAAGATCGCATGTGTCCACTATCTAGATTCTGTTAAACATTTTTTAAAATTTCAACATATTTGAGGGTACAAGTGATTTTTGGATGAATTATATAGTGGCAAAGTCTGGGCGTTTAGTGTACCCATCACCCAAATGTACATTGTACCCAATAGGTAATTTTTCATCCCTTACCCTTCTCCCAACCCACCCCTTTCTGAGTCCCCGGTGTCCATTATGCTACTCTGTATGTTCCTGTGCACCCATAACTTAGCTCTCACTTGTAAGTGAGAACATGCAGTATTTGGATTTGTGTTGCTGAGTTACTTTACTTAGGGTAATGGCCTCCGATTCCATCCAAGTTGCTGCAGGTTTTGGCTGAGTAGTCTTCTGAAGTGTATATATGTATATACATTTTCTTTGTCCACTCATCTGTTAACATTTTTTTTAATGGCCTTCAGAGATAATATGTTAACATTTTATTCCACTTTTTCTTTTTCTGAGGCTACTTGGGTATCCCCAGGTACAGGGGATAGAATAAGCAAAATCCTCTGTATTGGACATGTGTGCATTAAAGCTTATTCCAGTTTTCTAAAGAAAACCTTGACCCTTAACCCACATATTTCATGTTAATTATGGTCCAATAACTACTTTTTGAGTGTGGCCTTGTTCAAGTCTTTTAAACAAGCAGTTGTGGTCCTTTATTGCAGTTATTCACGTACTTATTTGGTATATAGTCTCAAATGCTGATTTGATGGCACAAAAATTTGTCTTAGCGTATGCAATATCAAATCTTTTTATTTTCTCATTATTTTTAATAGATAAGGAACAACAAGAAAACCGCCATCTTAGTTAAAGAAGTGAACCCTAAAAAGAAACTCTTTTTAGTTTATCGACCAAATACTGGGAAACAGCTCAAATTAGAGATTTACGCTGATCTAAGAAAGAAATACAAGAAGGTATTTTCTTATTTGTTATACATTGTTATATATGAATACTAGTTTTTATGATACGTTGAAACTATGTTTAGGATAGCTGTATCTATATATAAAATTATTTTGTCAGTTTTTCTTATTTAGTTGCTGTTTAAAAGGAAATATCAAGTTTTGTTACACTAATATCCCAGTCTTTAATGTTATCAACCATTAAGGAACTTGTAAGATGATTATTTTATTTATTTATTTTTTTTTTAGACAGAGTGTCACTTTCTTGCCTAGGCTAGAGTGAGTGCGGTGGCGTCAGCCTAGTTCACAGCAACCCTAAACTCCTGGGCTCAAGCGATCCTCCTGCCTCAGCCTCCCGAGTAGCTGGGACTACAGGCATGAGCCACCATGCCCGGCTGATTTTTATATATATATATATATTAGTTGGCCAGTTAATTTCTTTCTATTTTTATGGTAGAGACGGGGTCTCGCTCAGGCTGGTTTTGAATTCCTGACCTTGAGCAATCCCCTCCCCCCCTCCTCGGCCTCCCAGAGTGCTAGGATTACAGGCGTGAGCCACCACGCCTGGCCTAGGATGATTATTTTAAATAGCTTATGTTGTCAGTAAAGGAAGCTTTCAATACTAACCACAAAAATTAGAATTTTTTATTAAAGGAAATGTGTGTGAGACTATAATTCCTACTGGTACCTCTGGTTTTGTGAGCATGCCTCTTATGTTTATATTTTGCATTGATTTCTAGAAAACAGTAAATAACTATATTTTTCCTAGCATTACCATTAATTTTTATTAATAGTACTACCTTATATTACTATTCCATTCTATTCTCATTTGAAAACAATTATAATTGAGTACTTATGGAAATCCTATTGTAAAAACTCATAGGAGGAACCATTACTGCAGAACTTTGTCAATGGTATTCAAATTCAGCTAGTAGCAAGGGCTAGGTTTTCTGTATAGAGATGATTTTAACTTAGCTGACGTTGGAATTAATACATCAGATTAGGCAACCAGTATTATTTAAAACAATACTATTTCAGTGACATTTTTGTCTTATTTTTACAGGTTGTCTCAGATGATGCCTTGGTACACTGGTTAGATCAGTATAATTCATCTGCGGATACTTGTACTCATGCTTATTGGTTAGTATTTTCATGTTATTACCGTATTTTCCCAAGTACAATCAAGATTTAAATAAACCACACTCTTTACCAGTATGTACTTATGAGTAAATGAACAGATTAACTGTTGTTAACCATGGTTCATTTCATCAGGAGTTATAGACATTTGTGGCCCAGCCGCTATTTAGTTTGGGTGTCCCCTCTGCTACTCATTGGTGCTCTGTTATTTCTAACCAGCTGTGTTTTGGCAGGATGGACTTAACTGTCACCCTTGTCAGAACTTTTTCTTCCTCCTCTCTCACTGTCTCCTTTTTGTTTCTTCCTGTCTTTTTTAAGAAAAACTTCACTAGTGTCTCAGATCTAGGGAACTTATAAGAAATCAGGGGGAAAGTAGCTGCACAGCATGAGAAAACTTGATGATGTGTTGAGTCCTGAAGCCAGTCCTACTGTGCCCTTGGCTTGCCCCTTACAGTGTTTACCTCAGGACCTTTTGTAGAGTATTTTAATACTCTGTAGGTCTTAATTCTCTCTTTGGTGTTTTCGCATCCATTAAATAGTTAATATTCTTATGTGTCTGGTCTACATTTTGAAGAATATAGGATGTAGATGAATTTTAGTTTGAGGTTTCTTTGGGGGGTTCATTATGCAGGTAGGTAAGTTTAATGTGAGCACTGCTTTTTATTTTTCATTTTGAGAGTAAATTAATCCTGTTGGAAATTAATTTAGGAAAAAGCCATTAAGATAAAATGTTATAAAAGTTAACCTGTAAAAGTCCTCTACAACATTTGTGGTGAGTTATAGCAAGAAAAATACTATTATGCATTTTTTTTTTTTTAAAGATACAGAGTCCTGCTCCGTCACCTAGGCTGAAGTGCAGTGATGCAATCACAGCTCATTGCAACCTCCAACTCTGAGCTCAAGCAGTCCTTATGCCTCAGCCTCCCTAGTAGCTGGGACTACAGGCACATACCAGCACACCTGTGTAATTTTTTTGTTTGTTTAATTTTTTGTAGAGATGGGGTCTCTGTTGCGCAGGCTGGTCTTGAACTCCTGGCCTAAACAATCCTCCCACATTGGTCTCCCAAAGTGCTGGGATTATAGGCGTGAGCCACTATGCTTGGCTTGTATGTGTACATTTAACATCGTGTATTAAATTCATCTTAAGGTTGGGTGCGGTGGCTCACGCCAGTAATCCTAGCACTCTGGGAGGCCAAGGTGGGCAGATTGCACGAGGTCAGGATTTGGAAACCAGCCTAAGCAAGAGCAAGACCTCATCTCTACTATAAATAGAAAGAAGTTGATTGGCCAACTAATATATATAGAAAAAATTAGCCGGGTATGGTGGTGCATGCCTGTAGTCCCAGCTACTCGGGAGGCTGAGGCAGAAGGATTGCTTGAGCCCAGGAGTTTGAGGTTCTTGTGAGCTAGGCTGATGCCATGGCACTCACTCTAGCCTGGGCAAAAAAGCAAGACCCTGTCTGAAAAAAAAAAAATCATACTGATAAGAAAGAAGGACATTTTTATTTATGAATTGTGAAAATAATTTTAACCATAAAATATTGGTATGTCTTCCTTTTTCTCAGTTTTAAAATTTATATACAGTATAAATCACTGTCTCTGTCTCTCTCTCTCTACTGGTACCAGTGCAACAGAGTCTAGCCCAGTAGGGAGAGAGATTTGACTTTCCTCCTACTCACCCTGCCCCCCTCACAGCTTTTAAATTTTTTTTTAATTTATTTTTTAATGACTATTCCCACTAATCTTATATAGAGCAATGTATTGGTAGTTTGATGATATAGAAATAACCGACAGAGAATCTTTTTTATCCCCTTTTCACAGGTGTTGATATTTTTTTCATGGCAGGATCATTTTATAAGTTAGCATTACTATAAGATAACAGATATTATAATGGCTAAAATGTTTCAATTGATATGAAAAGCAATAAATCAGCCCTTTACAGGGAGGCAGGCCCCTGAAAAAAACCTATAATTTAAAAAATGAGTAGTGATACCTTAAATTGGAAAGGATAATACAATATATTAAAAGGATTATAATAAAGGCAAATAATGCTAGAAATTTTTCCACTTAAAATTTGGATAGATCTTGCAAACCTTATATGAATGTGTGTGTGTGTCACACATAGATGTATGTGATAAATATATATATTCCCCCCCCCCCTGTCTTTCTTAGGCGTGGCAATTGCAAAAAAGCAAGCTTGGGATTAGTTTGTGAAATCGGTCTTCGTTGCCGCACATATTATGTATTGTGTGGTTCAGTGCTGAGTGTCTGGACAAAAGTTGAGGGTGTTCTAGCATCTGTCAGTGGCACAAATGTGAAAATGCAGATAGTTCGGCTAAGAACAGAAGATGGACAGCGGATTGTAGGTGAGTCTAATTTTTAGTTTGGTTTGAGTTTTTTGGGGGGAAAAATGAAATCCTGCTTTTTTCTCATTTTATTTCTAACATCTAAGCTCTATTCCAGATCCATTTAACATCTGTTCCAGTAGTAGGTATGGAGCTTGGGCTATGTGTTCTTAGAAGGTAGAAGAGAAGTTAAGCCTTTGAACAGAGATGTTGGTCCTGGCTGAAGTCAGAATGTGCTCCTCTCTCTGATGTGCTCTCGGCTGCTCCCGCTCCGATTCCCAGCTGCTGCCGTCTGTGCAGGCTCCCTGGTGTGAAGCTAGCTCAGCCTCTGGCCCTGGGGTCTTCATTGAGTCAGTTCGAGACTATGGAACTTAAAAGCCACTGTGTACAGAGGGTGGCTCAGTGTCCTGCAGGGAGCAAGGGCGAACTAGGCTAGCTGTTCCCACCGGGTGCTCAACTGCAGGCGTCCCAGGAACCAGGCCAGCTGTTGCACTCTGCCTGTTCGCTTGTCTTTGTTTTATTTACGGCAGCCCTCCTCTGTATCTTGAATAGCAGATTGGCAGTCTATGGGACAAAGTCAGCCCAGGAACTTATTTTTTTGACCCTCAAGTATTTTTTTTTTTTTTTGAGACAGAGTCTCACTTTGTTGCCCAGGCTAGAGTGAGTGCCACGGTATCAGCCTAGCTCACAGCAACCTCAGACTCCTGGGCTCAAGCAATCCTCCTGCCTCAGCCTCCCAAGTAGCTGGGACTACAGGCATGTAGCCCAGCTAATTTTTTCTATATATTTTAGTTGGCCAATTAATTTTTTTCTATTTATAGTAGAGATGGGGTCTCACTCAGGCTGGTTTCGAACTCCTGACCTCGAGCAATCCGCCCGCCTCAGCCTCCCAGTGTGCTAGGATTACAGGCGTGAGTCACCATGCCTGGCTGACCCTCAAGTATTATTGGTTGTTGCAAGTTTTTATTTTAGTTGTCAACATTTAAGAATCAATAAGTTTCATATAAAAGTCTAGATTTCTTTTTCTTTTCTTTTTTTTTTTTTTTTTTTGAGACAGAGTCTCACTCTCTTGCCCAGGCAAGAGTGCCGTGGCATCAGCCTAGTTTAAACTCCCGGGCTCAGGTCGATCCTCCTGTCTCAGCCTCCCGAGTAATTGGGCAGGCACGCGCCACCATGCCCGGCTAATTTTTGCTATATATTTTTAGTCGGCCAATTAATTTCTTTCTATTTTTAGTAGAGACGGGGTCTCGCTCTTGCTCAGACTGGTGTCAGACTCCTGAGCTCAAACAATCTGCCCACCTCAGCCTCCCAGAGTGCTAGGATTACAGGCACCACCACACCTGGCCTCTAGATTTCTTTTTTTCTTTTTTTTTTTTTTTGATACAGAGTCTTGCTTTGTTGCGTTGCCCAGGCTAGAGTGAGTGCTGTGGCGGAAGTCTAGCTTACAGCAACCTCAAACTCCTGGGCTAAAGCAATCCTTCTGCCTCTGCCTCCCGAGTATCTGGGACTACAGACATGCGCCACCATGCCCGGCTAATTTTTTCTATATATATTAGTTGGCCAATTAATTTCTTTCTATTTGTAGTAGAGACGGGGTCTTACTCTTGCTCAGGCTGGTTTCGAACTCCTGACCTTGAGCGATCCTCCTGCCTTGGCCTCCCATAGTGCTAGGATTACAGGCATGAGCCACCACGCCTGGCCTCTAGATTTCTTTAAACAATAGAAACAGCTTATCTGGAGCATTAAGCTCACATTCTGTCATAGCAGGAGTTCCTTTCATAGGGCATATGTTTTCCAGTTTGCTGATATCTACTCTGTGTCCACTTCAGAGTCACCTGCTTCAATAAGCATTTGGATTTGTAGCTTTTGTCCTTTTGGTGCGTTAGTATATGACAAAGAAGGTGGTATTTGCATATGTTTGTGGAATTGCAAAGATAGTAGATAGAAAAATGCTGTACTTGGCCTTCTGTCCCTGCAGTAAGAAGATGGCGTTACAGTAGACACGTGCATATGCGTGGGTACTTGTGGGGAATGCTGTTGAAGGACCATACTATGTCTCGGGGCCATTTCATTTATTACGTACTCATGCAATTTTTGTGTGAAGTTTGGGTTCATTACAGTTAATCCTGTGCCTTATTTGGAATCTGCTATGAAGCTGTAAAATACAGTATAGTTTTTACTGGATGTAATTTTATAAATTCTTGTTATTAATTGCAGGTTTGATCATTCCGGCAAATTGTGTGTCTCCTCTTGTAAATCTCCTATCAACTTCGGACCAGTCTCAACAGCTTGCGGTCCAGCAGAAACAGCTATGGCAACAGCATCATCCACAGAGCATCACCAACTTGAGCAATGCGTAGAGAATAGGCAGGTTTCAGCATGGGTGTATCCGAAATGCTATTGAAGCATATCATTTGCATAAAAATCAGGGACAGTTTCCAAAGAATTATATATTTTTTTCAGTTATGCTCTCTCTAGTTAATTTTTTTGGGAGTAAGGACAAACCTGGAATAGATAGTGAAACTGAAAATCAGCAGTGCCGACGGTAGTGCATATGTCCTTCCTTTTGCTTTTCCCTTGGTACTTCCCATATGCTTTTACTTTGGGTGAGCAGAGGGGGATGTGTATGTGCGTGTGTGTGTCTGTCTGAGAGTTTGTTAAAGGCTACAAACCACAGTTGGTTTAAAATGCTTGGAACTTCCCAAACTGGCTTTACTTTTATGTTATACAGTGCTCAGGGTTAACACAGTACATCCATGTCATTGCTGTGGGAGTTCTCCCTGGATGCATGTGTTTTGAGTCTATAAATATAGAAAATATATATTGGTTTCTTTTTCCAACTCAAACAATAGGTTTATTGGAGCATGAAATGAAAGGTTGCATACCATGCATTCAGGTTCTTTTCTAGTTTTTGTTCTGACAGTGCATGTCTTTGAAAGCATGCGTAAACTGATTAACACAGAAGTCAAGTAATGGAGGGAAACATTTGTAGATGTACAGCATTGGTTATTGCATTTTTATAGTGTTTATACCTGGGTATTGCTTCCAGCCCTGCGAACTCCTCCCCGATTCTCTTCCCTGCCCCAGGTTGCTCATCAAGGTAATGAGTACATACATTTTTTGTGATTAAAATATCTTAAAAGTTAATTTTAATGTATTAATAATATTCCTAATGTGTGCTGCAAAAATGGCTGTAAGCCTCTTAAAGTTACATTTTCAACTTAAAGATAGTTTTAGAAAGAAATACAAATTGGCTTTCATCTCAAACAATCTTTTTTTACTTCATTTTCTTAATTTACTTTGTCATTCATAAAAAGGAAACCGTACTTGAGCTGTAAACTAGACAATGAGGAAACACTTGAGGCTTCTGCTGTGTGTTTTTTGTTAATGTTGTTATTGTTGTTACCTAGTAACTTGAATATTGTTTAATGTGTTGTAAGACATTGTAGAGTTTATCTCAAGCTGTTCAAAATGGTAATGTACAAATGTGAATAGACACTTATCTATACTATGGGTAAGTTTTGTTTCGCCTATAATAGATGTTTATAAAAACAAGTGAGGGGACAGTTGGTCTTTTGTTTCCTTTTTTCCTTTCTTTCTTTTCTTTTCTTTTCTTTTTTTTTTGCTTGCACAGGTTGCACTATTGAAAAATTGAGATTGTATAAACCTGGTCAAAAGCTGCAAGATACCAATATCTTGTAGATGTCAAATAAAAAGTTATTATATTAACAAGAAGTGGACTCTTGTTTAGGCCCCCACTGGTGACCTTCAGAAATATTCTGTAATGGGACTCTGCAGAACTTTTGTATTGTCTCAGCATTCCAGGTAGCCTTGTAGTTTGGCTTAAAACCTACCCCTAAAATTTGAGATGGTATTGAGGAAGGGGTAAAATGATAGTACCTTTGAATGTTTTTCAAGGTGAATTGTTCCCTTTGTAACTTTTTAAACTTCTCGCAGAGTTGGATGAGTTGTATGTTAACTGACAGAAACCTGAAGGAAAGCTTAGGGCTTTCATCCTCTTGTGTTTCTTTAGCCTGAGTTTGATTGTGTCAAGTTTACCATAGGCTTTCTTTGGGTTTACTCATTCTTGGTGCCTAGAAGAACAAATTGAGAATAATTTCTGTTCTTTGGCACATTTGCCCAGTGGATGCAACTTTTATCCTCAATCCAGTCCATATATATCTCAGGCAGTGATCCAATGTGTATCAACCAATGTCCCTTGTTAGGACCACTAGACCTAGCTGGCAGCCAGGAGCAGAACTATCCCCACCTTTAGCAAAACTTCCCAGTTAGTGCTTCTGGTTTTAAACTGGTGGTCCAGTGAGCTTCCATCAGCACACTTAGGTGAAATCGCTAGCCCTGGGGAAGGGAAGCGTACAAACCCTCCCCACAGGGAGATGGAATGGCAGGACTACAGAAGGCGTTCTCTCAGGGGCTGTTACCCCAGCTCCCCTTTCTGTGTGGGAGGGTATCTTTTTTAGCAGGTTGTGGTTTTTTATGGTGTTTTCAAAGCAGCATGAGTGTAAAGATTCTTTAGCATGCGGTTAAGTGACCACCTCCTGGCCCCCATAGTCCATGGTGCAATGTTTGCTCTAGAATAGCCATCTTGATACAGAGGGGCATATGTATGTTATTTTTTTTGTAGAACAGCTTTTTGTTGTTACTTATTTTTAAAAAATAACTCTGAAAGCCCTCTCAAAGCAGACAACAAAAAAACAACTGGTGTGGTTGGACGGGGGCTGGGGTGCCACAGGCCCACACCCATCACAGTGTGTCCTGTGCCCAGAGGCTGGCACCCCACCCCCTGGAGGTGGACATCCGACCTTTACACTGTGCCCTTACAAAAGTCAGCAAGTTTAGGTCCACCACCATGAGAAACCCCAGCATTGAAGGTCCTTTTCTGTCAAAAATCAAGTCTTCGTAACAGTTAGCTTCTGTAAAATAGGTCCGTTTATTGGAGAATCTAAATGCCACACCAGAAGCCAGAGGCCTTGTTTTAACCCCCTGTCGGTCCATTCGGCCTCTGCAATGCCTTTCCTCCCTTTTTAGCAATATGGCTCTGAGCACAAAGATTTGATTGGAAATCATGTTGGTGTTTTCAGAGTTTTCAATATCAGTTGTACTGAAAATCACTTCCTGAGTCCAGAGCTGCTCTCTGGGGGAATTAGTGTTCCCCTAATTTAGCAACCTCCATAGGACAAGGTCTCTATCTGCAGTTTGGTGGGATTATCCAGATATGCTATCAATGATATGACTCTATAGAGGTATTATTAATCTGTTTCTATAAACACAATTTGATCAAAAAGTAGATGTTAAGCAATTTTCTCTTTTTGCTGCTAAATTGCAGATACATGTTTCAAATATCTTCTCTTTACATGTATATATAAATTACCAAGAACCTGCATCCAAAGCAATGTAGTAGTATGTGTATGTGTGTATATATATATATATATTTATTCTAATTCAGTTACGTTAGCACTTCGAGAAACCTTATTGAGTTGCAACAATAAACCTTTAGTTGTAGTTTGCTTCACCTGTAGTTGTAAACATTCTAGATTACCAAGCTCCAGAGAACTATATTTCAGAGGCACAGTTTTCTGGCTATAGCCCCTGGGGCGTTCATTTGCTGGTCTCCATGTGATGCTGTTAGAAAACAGGGTACCAGGACAGCATTCACAGCTGAGAAAGAGCTTTGCCACCTCTCCCTTGCACTTTCCATGGTAGTGTGAGGGAAAAGGCCAATAGATTAGAAATGATTGCTCATCTCACTAGGAAGTAGGGACATGACTTCTCCTTGGATCCTTTTCTTGATGAGAGATTGAGAGGAGGGTCTGTATCCAAGTGTTCTCATTTAGAAAATGGACCTGAGTGATACTTGGTAGAGTGGTGCTACGTGAGCGTTGCTGATGAGCGTTTGTTGACCACCCTTCCTTGTGTCCTTGGTCTCCCCAACTAACACCACGTGCCCGTGCACACTGCGCATGTGCTCACTTTGCAGCTGAGATGTAGTGACCATTCCATGTCATGGCTACAGCTGAGAGCAAAAACCGTTTGCAAAAAAAATATCTCATTGGATGCCAATTGTCTAATACAAATGCAATGTCTTTGAAGTGAAAGAAACATACTTAGATACCTGCAACTCAAGCTAGCTAGCAGTTTTTTTCTGAGTACTTGAGGTTAAATCCAAAACCCACCTTCTAATTTTATGCTGTATTTATATGTGTACATAAGTGTGTATATATAGAAATGTTAAGTTCTTTTGAATGTAAATATTTCCTGTAAATTGGGACCCTGCCCACTTGTTTTTCCCTTTTCCCTCTTCCTTCTTCCCTTCAGTTCTATTTATTCTTTTCTTGACTTTCCCATGTGGGGCATCTTTTTTTTTTTTTTTTTAATTTAGAAAAGTATAGAAAACTTCTTAATTGAATTTGTTCCCGTATCTTAGAATTCAGTTGTGCATCTTTGTTACAGAATTCCTATCTGTTTTGTGTTAATATTTTTCAACATGCCTGATTGTGTTTTGCATTTTTATTACAATTTTTATTGTGTGCAATGCATTGTATCGGGGGAATGCACTTGAGTGCTGTTTCTGATTCTGTCATTGTATGACTGCTTTATGCTCATTTATGTTGTTCTTTGGAAGCTATAGTGAGCCTGATGTTTTCACATAAAAAAAAAAAAATTGCTTCCCAAGACTTCCTTTAAGCTCCTCTAACTTCTTCAGTGCATTTGGGATCAAACTTGGCTCTGAGTGCAGTCAACATGACTGGCTCCCGCCCTTGCAGTGTTCCAGGTCTGCACCAAATCCCTCCCCTGCCTCTGGCTCTCCACCTGACGGGGAGGTCTTGTAGGTTTGAAATGGGTTTATGGTCTGCTGCTGCTCCTGCACGTTTCATGCTTAGTTAGGAAGTTGGGGCATATACTTTTAACCTACAAATAATAAGCAGAAACTTTCTTTGTAATGAACACAGGCAGTACCTACTCTCTTATAACCTGTTGCTATATAGAGAGGTGGGAGACAGGCTTGGTGCATTAGTGACAGGTGACCTTAGAGAATGTATATTAAGGAACAGTTGTCCCCCAAAGGAGAGCAATGCAGCTGATGTGGTGGCTCCCCCAGCCGCCGCTGGCTCACAGGGTGACTGTGCTAGAGGGTACAGCAGGCAGGTGCCTGCTAAAGGGCCGGCCGGGGACGCTGCTGCTCTCCACCCCGCTGCTGTGGGATTGATCTTGACTGCATCAGCCGTAAACCTGGATTGAGGCATTTTTAATGATTAGGGAAGACCCATGGGTGGTTCTTAAAAATGGTGATATTTATCACCTCACCCGGGAGGCAGATATGTGATTTTTGCCATTAAGAAAATGTTCCTCTGTAACTTTTGGGAAGGGTTGCTGTGAGCATTTCTTGGGCCTTTCATTCATGTATAAGTTTCATTCATTACTATTCAACTCGGTAGACTCGGTTGAGAATTTAAAAGCTGTCTGCATTTGGATAAGTCTGGGCAACTAAATCTGTCGTGAATTGGGGTCTGTCACAGATTGCCTGCAGTGCGAATCCCCTGTTCAAACCCTCCTTGCCCAGCTCTCTTCCTCTGGCACCCCTGGAGCAGTAGAACTGTGTAGTTTTGCGGCCGTGGTGTCTCGCTATGGCAGTGTGGCAGGGCCAGGGCACAGGTCAGCACAGAATGCCCTTTAGTGCAGAGTTGGGAGGAAGGGAGGACGCCTGCGAAAGTCAGCTCTTTTTGATACTTGCAATTCAGGCCTCCTCCAGGGTGAAAGTCACTCGGCAGGCCCTCTACTTAGTCTCCTGCCCTGAAGCCCACTCATGCCCGAGCAGACATTTCTGGCCAGTGGACACTCAGGGCCTTTCTTGCTATGACAGTATTTGTGGCACTGAAGAGGATAAAGAAGCTTGAGCCGGCTCTCTGACTTCCACTTTATGGGGCAGAGAGAGCTTTTTTTCTACATAGCACATTGCAGTCTCACTGCTACCAGAAAAAAATTATCCTGTTCATGGTTTATACTGAATTTGCAAACTACTGATATTATTTTTCAATAACCACTTGTTTCTGTCATCAACCATGAGAGGTGGGAAGAGGTACACGGTATCTCTGCAATAAAACTTTTGCCAGGTTCTACCTCCTCTGAGCAAAGGATACTTTTATATGTAGGCATAGATCTTCCTCCTTTACTGATCTGACATGGTGCATCTTGAGACAACAACATCTGATGGAATCCAAAGACAATTTGAAACAAAGGTGGATGTAAACTCTTGTTTTTATTTCATTCTCTTTTTTTAAATCTTTTTTATATCGCTACTCTGTTCCGGAGCGTCCGTCAGCGTGTGAAGGGTACGCACTGTTCTAATGATACTGCACTGCTTCCTTCAGCCTTCCTGGGAATCCGGTACCAAGTGTCCAGAATTGATTGTTCCAGCCATTTTGATATGTAACTTACAAAATCGGTCTCATGCAATAAAAATGTATTGGCTGCATTTAGCAAGGTTTACTCTTGCAAGTAAAAGCGATCACCCATGAAGCGTAACAAATTCTGTATTTAGTTTTTTTGTTGTGTTTTTTGTTTTTGGGTTTTTTTGTTTGTTTTTGTAAGATTCTTAAATAAATTAAACAAAATAAATAAATATGCTTCTTCCATTGTGCTTCCTCTGTCCGAGTTCGAAGCTCCTGTTGAGCTGTAGCAGAGGGCCTCTTCCCACTCGGGGGGCGGACTTT